GAGACCATATACAATGGTGATCCAGAAAGATTTGTTTTCAATGGTGGCCTTGACGTGAAGGAATTGGTCACCAAAAGTGGGATTGGAGATGGAGAAAGGGGGTTTCCAGAATAGCCAGATTTTATTGTTTGGGTGGGTGATAAGGTTTGGGAAACCAAGTTGTAATTTAAAAAAGGGACCTTTTTTGGGTTGGGTAAGAGGTTCAATGATTGAAATGAGATTTATTTTCTTTAGCCTAACCAGATTGATTAATCTTGGACAGGAAGAGGGTAGCCCCCTTGTGTTCCAGAAGATGCAGTTCATTGAGAAGGGTCAGAAGAACAACTTTGAGAAATTTTTTTGGCACCTAGTCTGGTGGTGACCATGGAGGGGGGGCACGGTTGAGAAGATATTGAGGACAGAAAAGGAGTTTTTTGAGAAGAGGCAGAGGTATCATTGCTGGAGGTGAAAGAGGATTGTCTGTGTGAGTTTTGCTGAAGTGAAGTGAGATCATCCTGCCAAGCTTCAAGGGATGCTACTTTAACAGGGCTCTCTGAGTCCGAAGCACAGTCTGGTTTCTTGATATCTTCCAGGTATATAACATATATATATATATATATATATATATATATATATATATATATATATATATATATATATATATATATATATATATATATATATATATATATATTATCCTGTGAGAACACTCTCTTAGGAGAGCGAAAAAGAACAAAATCTAACCATCAATTAATTCAATTAGATGGCCTAGGATTTTCCGTAATACACAATTATGTGCAAGACATTCGGATAATTAATGTAGTAAATAAGGTAACGGTGCAACTCTTTATTTATCAAGGGGCACAATGGTAAAAAAAAATTCAAGTAGTTGTCATGTACGAGCCACCATAATAGGAAAACATCCTATAAATTGGGAAACTAATTAACGCATGAACTCCATCATAATTAAGATCTAATAAATAATACTTCTTTAATTTAATATTCTTTCTGAATTTAAATACTCTTACATTTAATTTAGATAACCAATTTGATTTGATTTAAAAAGCTACTAAAATCGTACCATATTTTTATGTCTATTCTTTTTTTCGGAAGGTAATATTTCATTAGTGGAATCAAATTAGGATTGTCTATTTGCACACCTATATTGAGTAGATGCACCTTTAATCGAAATATTAGGCAACATCAATTTAATTAAATATTTCAGTATTTTTGCAATATCAATAGTTTAGATAACTGAATCTATTCTACGAAGTAAAATTTTTTGGAGAGAAATAACATTTTAATTAAGTTAATTTTACCTTGTTGTAAACTTCACTTTTAATTTATATCGTTTCATTGCACTTAATGTAACATTAACGTACACTTTACTCATGTGTTCGTGCACTTTCAAACTTAGCTTGTTCTAAAAAAATGATTTTAAATAAGAATGAAGAAATATACAATGGTGTAAGCAGCAATTATCATAAAGTGCTCTATTATATCATACTTTCTAATGCTTTACATATGCTTTTTTTACAAAACAAAATGCACTTTCTGAATGTGAATTTGAATACATACAAAAGTGCACTATTATATCACACTTTATACAACTTTACATTGACACTTTTTACAAAATCCAATGCACTTTTTCTCCCAAATGGATCACAATTGTTCCACCGACACTGCATCTTACCTGAAAAAAAAAAAAAAAAAAATCAAAACTACCAAAAGTGCATGGTGAAAGAATGATAAGTGCATGAATAATTAATTAGAACTAACTATTAAAATTACCTAAAAGATGAATTGAGTGTAGGATGAATTCAACGTGAATGAATGGTAAATGAATAAACTTGAAACTATTAATTAAATGGATTGAAGAATAATTAGAACTAACTATTAATATGCAATGAGAAAATTAATCGTGAATGAATAATGTATTGAAGAAACTATGAATAGACTTGAAACTATTAATTAAATGGATTGAAGAAGCACTCAATCCATGTAGATGAAATATAGTTGTTTGATTAAATAATTATTAAAAATTAAAGTGAGAACTAATGAAAACCAAACACACATACCAGGATCAATGTGGAGAAAATTAGATTGTTAGAAAAATTTGGTTGCTTGATGATGATTGTTGTGAAACGGAGATGGAGAATGAAATTGATGGTGGAGTGCCGATAGATTAAAATCAGGTATGGCAAGGAAAAAACATAATGGAAGAAATATTATCACTTCCTAAAATAAAGGGTGTCGGTTATGGGAAGGGCTAAGAATTACTGTATTAGCCTTATACGAATTATTTAATTAATTGGAATAATGGTTCAATCCAAGGGTCCTCCTTTATTCTTTTTTACTCTCCTAAGATTAAGTTCTCACATGATCCTAAATCTATATATATATATATATATATATATATATATATATATATATATATATATATATATATAGAGTAGAGATCAAATGAGAATAGCATCTTATGAGAGAAATAAGAATGCATCCCCACCATTAATTAAGTTTGCTTTAACCAAATCCCTTAACGGACGTACTGACGCTTTGCTTAGAACTACCGTTAGTGCTTTGATAAATTTCCACTCATCCGATTTCATCTATTTCGCATATGTGAGATATCACGTAACTTTCTTTTGGCAAGTCACATCATGTAATTTTTGTTTCTTTTTTTAAGTACGTATCTTCTACTCCCATATTTTTTAATTTCTAATAAATTCACTATGGTACAATTTTTTTGTCTAGATTCATTAAATTTTTAGAGATTTTTGAAAGCTTAGTCCATTTGAGAATCTAGATGCACGAAATTTATTTAGGCAAAAGTAATATTAACTTTAAGTGTATATTTCTTGAAAAAATGGCATGTAGATTACTAACCGAGTTTCCCTGACAAATATATGACGAATTATGTTTTGGGATAAAAATGTGACTAGTAACAATAGTGTGTTTTAGAATAACAAATTCGTGGTAGATGATGAGTCAATGGAAACTAGTCATTAAATAAGTCACTTTTTTGGAGAGTTTTAAAATGAGTCATATTTTAATCTTTTGAATTTAATTTCACAATATTCATGAAAATGCCGCCTGTTTTCTTTTTACAAATATTTTTTGGTATACACTTTGTTATTTGGTGGTGCATTGTGGTTGTTATTGTTATTATTATTGTTGTCGTTGTTGTTGTTATGGTTGTCGTTGCCGCCGCCGTCGTTTTCGTCGTCTTCACTCTTCACCCATAGTCATTGTTGTTGTTGTTGTTGTTGTTATTGTTGTTATTATTATTAAAGTGCAAAATAGTTTGTTTAAAAATAGTTATGCAAATGTAAATGATAAAAGTGCGCAATAATGTTCCTAAAAGTGCATATTTACTTTTAGGTATACAAAAGGGCATTCTCATATAGTTAATGATAGAAGTGCATGATTTTGCGATAAAAGAGCACAACTAGAATATTAAAATTACACATTAAATTTCATTTGAATGGGAAAAAATATCTCAAAACTCTTCTTAGCATAAGTTATATTTCGATCATGAAGTTAAGAAAGTCACACACACACACACATATCATTTTTTGAATATAAAAGTGCACAATAATAATTCTAAAGTGCACAATCGGGAGTAAAAATAAACGTAAACGTATAAATGATAAAAGCACAATAACATTTCTAAAAGTGCAGTTGTAGTAGTTCTAGATATGTAGTTCTACTATAGTATAGTTAATGATAAAAGTGCAAAATTGTGTTGATATGAGTGCACTATTAGAATATTTAAGTTGCACATATGTTCATTTTCATTTGAAGATTGAAAATAGATTATGAGTCTAGATATGTAGTTTAATATTAAAGTTCACAATAATATTTCTAAAAGTGCACTTGTAGTACTTCTATATATGTAGTTTTACCATTTCATACTTAATGATAAAAGTGCATAATTCTGGTGATATGAGTGCACTACTAGAATACTTAAGTTACACATATCATATTCATTCTCTGAATGAGTTTTTTTAACAAACTCAACTAGATCGCATATATATTGTTAAATTATTTATATCATAAAGTGCATAATACTTTGTTTATGAATAAATGTGCCAATACAAAACATAAAAGTGACCTATTTTTTCTTTCTAAAAGTGCATATTTATTTCTTTTAAATATGTAAGTGCACAATTGTATGGTTAAAGATAAAAGTCCATAACTTTGGAATATGAGTGCACAATTAATATAATATATTTGCATATTTTGGAGAAAAACATTGCATAGTGTAAATAAAGGTTACGAAAAGAGTTTCTGCAATTACAAATATCAACAATTATGTGTATCTGATTTTTTTAATAGAAAAGCTCATAATCAAACACTTCAATAAAAACTGTTGATTTTATTAATTCTAATATTGCACATACTAGCCTCATGGAGTGTAATGATTTACAGGATTGTCAGTTGATATCCTATTATATGTGTATTAATTGATTAAAAATAACACTAAAATAAATAAAACATGTTACTATAAAAAGTAATAAAATTGGTCAAAAGTCAAAGAGCACTATCTACAATACTTCGTAATTAATACGGAGTAATATTATTACGTGCAACTGTTTTGTTTCTATACGGAGAGTCCGCTAATGCTAGTAATTAAAAAAGTCGGCTAATGAATTATCAGTTACGTTAACGTCAAGCTAAATGTTCCGTTAGTTGGTTAATATTTTGTTTAATTCCATTTATGCCACCGTCTAACAATTCAATTGATACCGTAGATTTTTTGTTTTGGATGAATGTGATTTGTTCTCATTTCTCTCCTAAGCCACCATTCTCACTTGAACCGCACCCTATATATATATATATATATATATATATATATATATATATATATACTCTGTTAGGCTATTGTAATTAACCTAAGCTTAATACAAAAATTATTATGATTCTATATTCTGAAATCTATCATGGTATCAGAGCCCTAGGCGGCGTTCTTCCTCGCGTTTCATGTACGAATAAGCAAAGTTGCAGCACCCGCGTGCAGCGCAACAACTGCCATGGCCGGCGAAACTGCAGAAACAAGACTTGACCCCTCTTCTCCCTATTACCTTGGTTCGGGAGATTAACCGGAAACTTGATTACTCATGTGATCTTCCGCGGTGACAACTACGTGGCATGGTCGAGAGCAATTATGATGTCCCTAAAGGCTCGAAGAAAGCACGTTTTTATTGACGGAACTCTTAAAAAGCCGGCGGAGGGTCCGAGAGTGATGGATTGGGATCCGGTCAACTCTATGATTGTGTCGTGGATTCTGCGAAGCATGGAAGCAAACGTGGCGCCATCGATCCCATATCATGAAGAAGCAAGGAGCTTGTGGCTGTATTTTGAAAAAAGATATAGCGTTGCTAACGGTCCTCGTTTGCAGCAACTTCGGGCAGCAATTACGGAATGTAAACAAACCAAAACCATGTCCGTGGACGCGTATTACACCGCACTTACGGGACTATATAACGATGATAAGAGCAAGTTGCTTTGTTCCAACTGCAAGCAGAAGGGGCATTAAATTGGTAGTTGCTTCAAGCTCCATGGATACCCGGAGTAGTGGGAAGAAAGAAACTAGAACAAAGGCAACGTGGTTGGACGTAATGCAGGGGTTCGAGCTCATGCTATGACATCGGCTTTAGGAAGTGTGGATACTATTTCTGCAGGTGGTGGACCGAACCCTTTGAACAGCCTGACCAAAGAGCAGGTCGAAGCTCTCCTGCGCTTGCTTCAGGCAGATACGAACACAAGTGATCGCATGGAAGGTAAGTACTTTACTTGTGACTAGATATTAGATACCGGAGCGTCGCACCACGTGACCGGGGACATATCCAGGCTGACCAACCTCGAGCGTATATCCAACTGCCGGGTTGGACTGCCGGACGGACGAACTGCAGCGGCCACATTAGAGGGACGTGTACTGTTGACACAACACATTACATTACAGCATATGCATGTCCTCTATGTTCCGGGATTAAATTGCCACTTGATCTCTATTTCTCAATTAATTGATCAATCTTCATGCATGGTAATTTTTATTGATTCACTTTGTGCTATACAGGACCGTCACTCGAGGAACCTGATTAGAGCCGGTGAACGACGAGATGGGCTCTTTTACTTCCGAGATATACCAGTGGTGCATGTTGTAGCAACGTCTCCGATTACAGAGTTTGAGTTATGGCATCGTCGGTCGGGACATCCCTCAGATCGTGTGATTAAATTATTACCCGTGATTAAATCTAGTTCTAGTAGCAAGAAATTGAATAAAGCTTGTGATATCTGTCCACAAGCCAAACAAGTACGAGACTCTTTTCCTATTAGTGATAATAAAGTTGGTCGTATTTTGGAATTAATTCATTGTGACTTGTGGGGTCCATATAATACTCCTTCTACGTGTGATGCTGTTTATTTTTTGACTTTGGTTGATGATTATTCACGTGCTGTATGGGTATATTTATTGCGTGACAAAAAGGAAGTGCATAAATTTTTCCTATCTTTTCTGGCCATGGTTGAAAAACAATATGATGCATTGGTTAAGACTGTTCGTAGCGATAATGGTACTGAATTTCGGTGCATGATTCCATATTTTGACTCTCGTGGTATTGTTTTCCAAACATCTTGTACACATACACCCCAACAGAATGGGAGAGTTGAGCGTAAGCACCGTCACATTTTAAATGTGGCTCGTGCCTTGATGTTTCAGGTTCATCTCCCAATTCGTTTCTGGGGTGAATGTGTGCTAACCGCAGTATATTTGATCAATCGTACACCCTCTGGCGTTCTTGGGAATATGACTCCGTTTTAGGTTCTTCATGGGATAGCGCCTGATTATTTACATTTAAGGATTTTTAGATGCCTATGTTATGCTTATGATCATGCTTCTCGGAAAGATAAATTTTTCCCAAGAAGCAGGCGATGTGTTTTTCTTGGTTATCCTAACGGGAAAAAGGGATGGAAATTCTATGATTATGAAACCGGTGATATATTTATATCCCTTGATGTTCAATTTCATGAACATGAGTTCCCTTTCCTGGCTACATCCAGTGATACCCCTGCCCCAGAACTTACTGCTGAAACCCCACCTATTTTTGAGGATAATGATGATACTACTTCACTGCCTACTACAAGAGAGTCGTCCCCCTCCTCGTCTACTGCTATGCCCGCTAGAAGCACTCTAGTTGTACCGCCTGTGACCACTCCTACTGCTACGGAGCACTTTGGCCGTGGTCAGTGTGAAAAACACAACTCGGTATTACTTCGGGATTTTGTCACTCATCACGTTCGACATGAGAGCCCATCTCCGTCCTTACCTGCTTCATCCCGTTCCTCAGGTACGCATTATCCTATAGCACATTTTGTGAATTATGAAAAAATTTCATCTCGCCATCGGGCATTTCTTGGAGCCATTCTTGCAGGTAGAGAGCTACGTAATTTCCGAGAAGCAATGTCACATGCAGGATGGCGTGCTGCCATGCAACGTGAGATACGAGCTCTGGAGGATAATGATACTTGGGTTGCGGAACGTTTGCCTCCTGTGAAACGTGCTCTTGGTTGTAAGTGGGTTTATAAGATTAAATACAACTCTGATGGAACCGTAGAACGTCTCAAAGCCAGGTTGGTTGTATTCGGGAATCACCAAGAGGAGGACATTGATTACACGGAGACATTCGCGCCGGTTGCCAAGATGGTTACGGTTCATACCTTTCTTGCGGTGGCGGCGGCTCGCAATTGGGAAATTCACCAAATGGACGTGCATAATGCTTTTCTCCATGGTGATTTAAATGAAGAAGTGTATATGAAACTTCCGCCTGGTTTTCACCCTACTCGACCTGGACTTGTCTGCCGTTTGCGGAAATCCTTATATGGTTTACGCCAGACACCCCGTTGTTGGTTTGCTAAATTAGCTAAGTCCCTCAAGAGGTATGGTTTTATTCAGTCCTATTCGGACTACTCTTTGTTTACTATGAGCACGGAGGGTATACACTTGCTTGTGTTAGTTTACGTTGACGATCTTATCGTAGCTGGTAATGATTCTTCTGCCATAATTAAATTTAAAGAATATTTGAGTACATGCTTTCATATGAAAGATCTGGGTGTACTAAAATATTTTCTAGGCATTGAGGTTGCTCGCAATGCGGACGGGATTTTTCTCTGTCAACGCAAATATACACTTGACATTATTGCAGAGGTTGGGTATCTTGGCGCTAAACCCGCTGACTTTCCCATGGAGCAGAACCATTCTCTTGCACTGGCAAGTGATGATCTATTATCTGATCCGGAGACTTATAGGCGTCTAGTCAGGCGTCTCATCTACCTCTCTTTCACTCGTCCCGACATAGCATATGCAGTTCATATTTTGTCCCAGTTTATGCACTCTCCTCGTCGTGCTCATTGGGATGCGGCACTCAGAGTGGTGCGTTACCTAAAGGGTCTCGAGGTCAGGGTATTCTTCTTAGCTCCAACTGTGATATGCGTCTTTCTGGATGGTGTGATTCTGATTGGGCAAGTTGTCCAATTACTCGGAGGTCTCTTACTGTTTGGTTGATATTTCTTGGCGGTTATCCTATTTCTTGGAAGTCTAAGAAACAAAATATGGTGTCCCGATCATCTGCAGAAGCAGAATATCGGTCTATGGCATCCTTAACTGCGGAATTGAAGTGGCTCAAAGGTCTCCTATTGAGTCTTGAAGTCGACTGTCACTATGTTCGTGATGCTGTTCAAGAGGGTATCATATCTACTCAGCATGTTTCGCCACACGATCAACTTGTTGATATCTTTACGAAGGCCTTGGGAAAGCAACAATTTTTATATCTTCTTTCCAAGTTGGGCATTTGTAATCCGCATGCTTAAACTTGAGGGGGGGTGTTGGAATAATAGTCTTATTATTTTATATTTATTTCTTCTTCTTTATATTTTATACTCTGCTTCGTATATATGGCCCATGGGCTTTGTACAGAACATATATATACTCTGTTAGGCTATTGTAATTAACCTAAGCTTAATACAAAAATTATTCCGATTCTAACGGGCCGGGTAAGGTCTGGTTCCTATTTTGAAAATTGCAATTGTAACTGATCTTATAATTGAGTCCTTCCTCAATTTCGTGCATTTCTATAGGTATTTATTTATTTAGAAATTGCTCTAAGTAAGACCAAAAATAACTAAAAAAGCACAAATATGACCACTACATTTTTTACCATCCAAAATAGGACTAAACAAATTCAGCATACCCAAAATGCCCCTAAGGGTATTATTTCATACTAACATGTTATAACACATAATAACAACTTAAAAATATAGTAATAAATCGTAATTGTTTTTTAAAAATCGTAAAAAAATAATTAAAAAATATTTTTAAAATAAAAAAATAATTTCTTTTTTATTTTTTTTAAAAAATAGTAAAAAATCATAATTTTTTTTAAAAAATATGGAAACCTTTCCCACAGCCTCCCAGAACCACCACCTTTGATCGGTAAAAAATATGCCACTTTTTATATTAAAAAAATCCATTTTTTTCCCGAAAATGGCCTAATTACTCTTCATAATGCCAAAAATCTCATTGATTCTGCCATTATTATGGGCCTTATGGCATTACTAGAATTGTTGGCAGATTTCTTCTTTTGATTCTTTTTTTGAAAAAATTAATAAAAAATAGTAAAAATCCATAAAAAAAAATGGATAAATCTGATTGGTACAGATTCTGCCATTATTATGGCATTACTACAAATTTTGGCAAATTTTCAACCGGTGATGGGAGGCGGTGGTGCTAGGGGTGGCAGAGGAGGCGGCGTTTTTTTTTTTTTGCATTTTTTTTTAAATTTTTTTTCCAATTTTTTTTATAAATATTTTACGAATTTTCAATAATCTTTGACGTTTTTTTTTATTATTTTACGTTTTTTTTTATTTTTTTATGAATTTATTATTAATTAAGACCTTTCAAAAGCCTCAAGGGCATATTTGTCCAAATACACCTAAAATAGTCCTACTAGATGGAAGAAAAAACATGTAGTCCTATTTGTGCTCTTGACTCACTTTTTTGCCCTATATAGGGATTTAACTCTTATTTATTCCTTTGCATACCTGAAAAACCAAAGAAATTTGGATTTATACTCAATAACGGTCATAGATCCCTGTTTAAGATGTATGAACTCTCATCTCAATAACAATCAGGAACAAACTGATTGTTATATTATATTTGGTCTCAAAGTACTCCCACATCAACTATTTTGGCACGTCTTCTCTTTGAAGTATCCATTTCCACCAATCGTTGGTTGCATGGTGAAGGAGAGTGATGCGATGGAGGCCATTTGATTTGAGGAATTAGAAGATCTTCAAAGACTCGAGTAGTTTTCTCCAACCAAAACTCGGATGTCCTCGGTGTGTCTGCCTCCTTGCGATAGAAAATAGGGAAAATTCAAAAATTCCAAAATAGGACTGTCATGTTTTTATTCTCAAAATAGGACTAATTATTGCCAAATTTGGAAAATACTGTCATGCTTGAAGTCTGGTACTGCCAAAACGTGGCAGTAATTAGTCCTATTTTGGGAATAAAAACATTAAAGTCCTATTTTAGAATTTTCAAACTTTTTTAGTCCCATTTTGGAAAATATTTGCCCCATTTCACTTGAAGAATCTAGTGTGATATCTTCCCTATGAGGGGTTCCTATTGGGACTACTTTCTGTCTGAGTTGTTGGGACAGTCCTGTCTGTTGCTGTGCAAAAAGCCTTGTGCAAAATTAGTGTGTAGTTGTCCCTATTGAATCATCATCTTCTATGCTTCTCGAACATTTCCTCGAGCGGGGGCATCGGAAGATTCAACGTCTCGAGAACTAACTTACAACTCATCCTCAATACCGAAAGTTAATAAACAAGTAAATTGAGCTACTGACCTAAAACTACACGAGTTCGGAGTAAACTCAAAAATGTTATAAATTTCATGTAAATATGCGCCTATTCTTTAATACATTGTAAATCAAGTCTAAACACAATTATAATTCGAAAAACGGCACACATACGAACAACTTCTGATTAACCTTTATGGTATACTGCTTTGGGCTTAATGTATTTGAATTCATGAGGATTCATTGAATTAATTAAAACCACGATCTTACCATTTTGGAACGGTTTAGATGTGCGCAGTTAAAGATTAATTAGTAGTGAACCCAATTAAAGATTAATAA